GAGCATAAAAAGTCGATTAAAACAAGCTATCGTACGTGTTGATACCATCAAAATTGGTATCTCTAGGCACAATTTTCCAAATTGTACCAAATAGTACACATTTTGCTATGTTTTAAGGACAAATTTGCCCGTATCTCGAAAACGGTTTGAGTTAGAGCAAAACGGACAAAATCTAGGCCCAAAGGGTCGTAAAAGGGTGAGTTTCATGGAAGAAAATTTTTCCCGAAATTTTTTAAAAATCTTTGAGGGGGCTGCACTTAGGCCCCTGGGGCACGGCCAAGGGGGGTCAAAAATTGACCGGACCAAAAGTTTTGAAGAATTTGAACCAAAAGTGACCGTTGGAGATCAGGTCCGAATCAAATATCAAAATTTGGCGATATGTAGGACGCCCTAACCGCGTTTCAGTCAGGTCCAGATTTTCACCTTGTTCTGCGGCGCACTGCGTTTGCGCATATATCTCGGGAACGGTGAGTCCTAGAGTCATCACACCCGGTACCTTTCCGATGTAAAACACAATTTTAAACACATTTTGTTTAACACGCGATGTCATGAGAGTGATAGTTTCGGCGTTAGCCTGGATTTTACACAATTTTAGGGAAATCTCTAAAATTTCAAGCCCCCGGTTGGAGTAAAAGATCATATCCGAAAAAAATTTAAAAAATACCTCAGTAATCAGGACGTCATAACGCAACTTTTCCGCACTATTACGATTCTCGAATCTCAAAAAACGGACAATCACTCCACCCTACCCGCGAGGCCCACGAGGTGCTGCCCTCTGGCGCGGCGGCGCGGCGCGGGACCGAAACAGCAGCGGCGGCCACCAGGCAGCGCGGGTGGCGGGTACGGCGGAGGTAGGCGGCCCTCTGCCCGGGCCCGAGTACAGTCCTCAAGCTCACAAGGGGCGCCCTCCTGTGTGTTCCTTGAACATGTCAGCAGGCAGCGGGAGACGCCGCCGACACCGCGCGGAGGAGTGGCGTGGCGTGGGCGGGGAGGGTTCTTCACCCTGCGAGCCACAACACCGCGCCGCCCGCCCGCCCGCCCGCGCCCGTCCTTGGCCACCGTGTGCGAACACGTGGCGGAGCCGCGAGCGAGAGGTCCTTGCTGGGCGTCCACTCGGCCGGCCGGGCCATGCGTCGCGGCCGCGGGACTAGGCGAGGTATTTTTGATCGAGATTCAATCGGTCGCCCCGGGGCCTTATCGGTTCGAGTGCGTTACATTTAATCTTTTCATTGCGGCCACTCGGTATGTGCGGCCCGAGTTTGGAAAAATGTCACATGAAAATTATGCGTATCTCTTTTTTCTTCGGAGAGTGGTTTCTCTCCTGTGACGATGCTGAGTCCTTGGACCAACGGGCGCTGCGGCCGCTGGTGCGTGACGCTCCCTGACCCGCCGCAACAGCGCACCGGGGACGGGACGCGACGGGACGAGGACGAGCAAAACAGTTTGGTGGCGCGCTGTGCGGCGCTGTGCTTCCGCGTGAAAGAAGACACGGCGGCGTCGCCGACCCGCCGCCCCGCCCCCACGGCAGGGGGCGCAACTAATGAGGCGGCTGACAGCCCCTTGTCGAGGAAGCGCGGCGGCCCCCGACCCCAACCTGCACCACCCTCACCCTCCCGACACTCCCCAACCCCTCGCACCTGCCAGCCGGCTCGGCTATCGTGACTTCGTGAAAGCAAACAATCTTCCTTTTCGAATGGCCCGTCGTGGTTGTAGTGTGTGTATCTTATTCGGCTCACCGCGTCGTCGAACACGGCGCGCACGTTTCAACGCCACACGCCGAAGGGACGCTCTCTGCTATTATTGTGCTTGTGCCGTCAAAGATAAGTAGCACACGGCCGACTCGAACGCGGTCTGTCGTCAGTTTGTTCTGAAGGAACTAGCCGTGCGTCATCCTGAAACGCGTCTTTCCGTGTTATTGTGGTCACTGGTCACCCCCTCCCCCTCTCCCTTAAAAAAACACTTCGGCCGTTTTGGAAACTGCGCGCCGATTTGCTCTCATATTGCTTTATACGCACTACACGCCGTTTATGTCGCGGTTGGACTCGACAAATGTCGGGCACGTGGCACAACAAGCGCGCCACGCCAGGGGAGAGGGTGTGTCGCCGCGTGTTGTTCTAGAACTCCACAACAGCGGCGCGCCCGCCCCGCCCCGGGGGCTGTGCATAGTGCAGCGTTAAAAGTTGTGGCGCGAAGCTGCCTCGAGTTGCGCAAAAACAAGAGTCGCGCCGTGGATATCTGCTGGGGCGGATATCGACATCGACAGACTATGCTGCTCATAACAAGACGAAAACGACCACACAGCACGCCTGATTTCCTTGACCCCTCCCTGCGCCCTGTCTGCTTACGTTCACTCGCAAAGACGCGCTTACAGCAGCGTCTACAACTGCCGCCCCTTTGCGCTCGTATCGCGAAAATTCTCGTTTCTTTTTCCCTCTCTTTGGGACACGTTTGCGATATCGGCGTTTCGCGCGGATATCCGCCGCCGCGTGCTCTGCCGCCACCGCCGCCGGGACGTGCAGTCAGCCCCGCGAAGTGGTCACGTGACCGCGGCGTGGCGCGGCGCAGCGGTCGCTCGCCTCGCTTTTCGATGATTCCAGCCATTCCTTTGCGGGCCCTATTGTTCGTCACGATTCGTCGAGTCGTCGTATTTTATTCGAGCCGCCTGCCCCCGGCGGCGGGCTCGCGCGAAGCGAACGACTGGGACTGGGGGGTTGGCCGGGGCCCGCTCCAGGGGAGGCCGTCTTAAGGCCGTCCAGGCCTTGTTGTTGTGGTCCACGACGCCTCTGACGCACTGCCCCGCGGCCCCGCCGCCCCGCAGCCGCACTGCGCGATAATTGTGACTATTGAACGCGCGGCCGCCTCGCGGGGGGCAGGCGCAGCCCGGCGCAGCGCTGCAGCATCCCGCGTCTCCAGGCGGCTGGCTGCGTCAGTGCGTCACTGCTCCTCAGAATCAACAGCTTTACCGCAAACGCCAGTAGTAGTAGTCACCCGGTCAAAACTGTCGACAGAGCTCACACTGGAGAGCCCCAAGGGTCTTAAATAGAAACAGTAGTCTTTACGGGACTGTTTAAAAATCGCACGTGACTTTTTCATGGAGTAGGTATTTCCCTTGAATAGCTTATGTTATTGTCGTGCCGGATAGTCTCTTGGTCCAGCACCCTGCCCAGATTGGTAGCCTGGATGGCTGTCCCCTGTCTGCCCTAAAGGTCTGCCCTGCGTGTACACACACAGCCGGGTACGCCGCCAAACGTCCCCTTCCTGCCGTTCTCGCGTGGCATGAAACAGTCGTCCTGCGACGTGTGCCTCATCGGTGGCGCAGTCCTGCTCCTGTTGAGATAGGTCCTCGAACCGGAGGTCCTGCGGGACGCCTTGGCTGCTCCAAACGGCGCGATCAATACTCCGAGGAGCGCCGTTCTCACGACCGGGAGCGCTGCTGCGCGCTGCTGCAGCAGGACCAGGGGGTGCCTCGGCGCCGCCCGCACCCCGCCACGACCGACGACGCATGGCCCCGCTGCTGAGCGAATCTGAGCGAATTGATGTGCCTCGCAGATGGCGCACAGAGATACGGTCGCTCACACGCCTAGCGCCGAGCTATATTTAGAATGGAACTTGATGAGTTTTGTTTGGCTCATATACACCTCGGTATTCACGCATGATACCCCTCCTCCCAAAATTGACACCAATCGAAAAATCGCCTAGTAACCACAAGATTCAGTAAGAGCAAGACGAATATTTTCTGTGATGGCTTCCCCCCCCACCCCCTTCTTTTCCAGGCACCCCTATCCAGGAGACTCCATGGACTGGAGTCGCTATGGAACCACAGAGCGAGCCGCCTAATTAACATCCGTCCATTGTGCGACCACTACCGCCGCCAGACCCCATCCCCAAGCGGGCCTCCCCAGCGAGCCTCCAGCGGGCCTCCAGCGGGCCAGGACGTAAACAAAGAGCCACCCCCTGGAGCCCGGCGGCGGCGCTTGGCAGGCCTAGCGGCCCACCCCTTCGCCCGGGTCGCGGGCGGGCGCGCGGGCGGGCGGCCAGGCCGACTGAGAGTGCACCCCTGTTCGCCGCTCTACTCACCCGATGAAGTTCTTAATGAAGCAGTAGACGGCAAAGAGCGTGCGGTCGTTGAGGTCCAGCGAGTCGAGGGCGGGCGGCGCTGGGGGCGCCTGCCGAGGGGCCTGCTGCACCGGCGGGGGGCCGGCGCCCACCCCCACCCCGACCCCCATCCGCACGCGGACGTCTGCCGTTGTCATGGTGGGGCAGCCAAAGCGTAGGAGGAACGGAAACTATACTGCGGCTCACAGGATCGGAGGACAAGAGCGTTCGCTCGCGGCAGCGCACGCCGAGGAACTGAAGCGAATGCGCGGTGGGGCTGGCAGCCGCGCCGCGCCGAGCCGAGCCGCGGCTGGGCCCGCGCCGCCCCGCGCCGCGCCACCCCCACCTACACGGCCCCAGCGGCGGCGCGGGGCGGAGGGAGGACGGGCGGGAGCGGGTGGGAGCGGGCGCGGGAGCCAGGCGGGAGTCGGGAGCGGGCGGGAGCGGCGGGAGCGGCCCACCTGTCTGGCGGACTGCCCAGCCCCGACCCGCCGCGCACGCGCCCTGGCGATCGATGTCGACCGGACGTGCGCATGCTCGAGGGACGAGGGGAGCCCACCACCCGGACCAGGATGTCGTCGAGGAGATGACCACCCTTCAGATGAACGCTCCACCGCCCGGCTTCCGAGATCTCTCTCTTTTGTGCACCGAGCCCGCCTGCGTGTAGGCGGTTGGGGCAGAGCTGCGCCACCCCTGGCGACACACACCAACCACACCACCCACATGCCCCATCATCACGGGGGCATTGTCAGCAGACAACCCCGCAACTCTCCCTCTCGTTGTCCAGCACCTGCAAGGCGGGGTGCCGCCGGGGTGCTCGAGCGCCTCTTTCAACCAGCTCCCTTTCTCTCTCTTTCCCATGTTCTCTCCTCCTACACTTGCTTGCTTCTACTCGTACAACACACTCGGCACACAACAAGCTGCGCGGCCCTTGGCCCAGCCGGCGATAGCAGTGTTGGTCGACTACCCGTGCACAGATCTCACACGCTATGCCCCAAACAGACAGCCGCTCCCGGAGCAAACACCACAACACTACTACAGGGGAGCTTGTGCCTGGCCGGGAGGGAGCGGTGGGGTGGGCGGGCACATGTGCGTTCTCACGTGACGGGGCCCAGACAGCAAAACTATGCGGCCGCATTGTCAACTTCTTCCATTAACCCCTTTACTGACCCGCCTGGTCGCGCCTGCCCCGCCCCGCCCCGCCCTGCTGCCCGCCCTCGCCACCACGACCAAACAAAGGGGGGGCGCATGCAGGACTCGTGACGTGGGGGGTGGGGGACGAACAAAGGCTGGTCTTTCCCCGAAACCTTCAGTTTCCGACGAGTCTGTCTTTCGCTCGTATTAAGGCCAGCAAGAAGGGTCATCGCCTGGCAGACGGGCGTTCAGGCCGCCCCTGGCTGCTGCCTGAGGAGGAAAAGGATCCGGTCCAGAAACAGTCTCGCCGAGGAGCCCTCTGCGGACAATTAAAGACAACCTCGTGCGAGTCTTGAAATAACGTCGGCCACGAAAAATAAATTTTAAAAAAATGAATGAAGAGGGCGACACGCAGTAAGCAGGGAAGAGAGGAAGAAAAAGTGCTGACGAAAGTAGGTCTACCGAGACAGAGTTTGTCGGCGGCGACAGGCCGCGTTCCGTCGCCTCACTTACGCCCCCCTCCCCTCCCCATCTGCTCTACCTACCCCATTCCCCCTCCCCGCTAAAAATACTAACGAGTACAGAACAGCGCGTCAGGAGACGATGGACGTTGTCGGGGGTGGGATGAAGAAGACAGGGACAGAGGGAGAACTAAGGGACGACAGAGAGCGAGAGAGGCCGGCGATCAGACAAAGAGGTCTGATTGAAAGTGGCCCACCGCCATCGCCATGGCGCAGAGGACGAAGGACGGGACGAAGGACGGCGGCGGGGGCGACGGCGCCCCTGTGTCGTGCGCCACTCCAACTCCGCGCCACGCCACGGCAGACTGACACACCCTCCTCCTCCACCTCGACCTGCCTCAAGCGCCACGGCTGCTCCGCGGCAGCTGCACGCCGGCAGCGGGGCACCCACCTACGCTGCTGTTTATGACGGCGCATACGTGGAGCGGCGAGCGGCGAGCGGCGGCGAGCGAGCTGCGTGCTTTGGGAGACGGGCTATCGGTAAACAAAGCAAAGTTGGCTAACCTGCGGCGGGCAGGGCGGGGCGGTGAGGGGTGAGGTGGTGTCCCAGG